TGCTTTCTTTCTGTTGTCTGTGTTATTTCGCTGATCTGAAAACATTAGATTGCTGAAAAAGTAGTTTCATATATATAACATTATTTCGCTGATCTGCTTTCTTTCTGTTGTCTGTGTTATTTCGCTGATCTGAAAACATTAGATTGCTGAAAAAGTAGTTTCATATATATAACATTATTTCGCTGATCTTTCTTTCTGTTGTCTGTGTTATTTCGCTGATCTGAAAACATTAGATTGCTGAAAAAGTAGTTTCATATATATAACATTATTTCGCTGATCTGAAAAGTATTAGATTGCTGAAAAAGTAGTTTCATATATATAACACGAATGCCTTCTTCTGCTGTCTGTGTTATTTTGCTGATCTGAAAATATTAGATTGCTGAAAAAGTAGTTTCATTTACATTCTGTAACTTGTTACCAAAGACCAAGCGCAAAGCTACTCTAGTCTCCGTGTGCTTATTTTAATGGCACTTGAGTAACTTACAGAATACCTGCTGATCCAACATAAAAGTGAAAAAATGGAGAATGCAAGCTCACTCTTCAGGATTTGCAAAGCTTATTGATTTTGAGAAAACCCTAAGATACATAGAAGCATGCGAGGGCTTCGATGAAAATTTGCGTAACAGGAGCCATCTAAACACATGTTAACTATTTTGTTATGTCATCCGATTTATTTTCTCAGCAGGACACTTCGAGCTAGTGCTGATTACGGACAAGAGTGACAATTGATTCCAGGCGAATATTGCTTAGTTTCATTTAGGAAGAGAAAAGATCAGAATACAAAAATAACTTGCTACATTTCATATAGCAGGGGAAAAACAAAAGAACCCTGGCATTGTTTAAGTTTCTTCTTATCAAAGCTCTGGCAATTTTCAAGTTCACCATTTCATACAGCAGCAGATCTCAATGAAAAATTCCCATACAGCACCAAACATAATTATGCATTCTCGGCAAGCCATTGAGAATTTCATTAAGCACACACACGTATGGTTTTCCTTTTATCTAGTTTTACTACGGTCCAACATTTCTCACAATTTTACAGATATAAAGGCAAAAACCACAACACATCAATTTTTGGAGATTGACAGATAAACTGATGTCAAGCTGAAACCATTTTCAAACTGAAATCCCATAGTTTTTTTGCCAACTCTGTGTCTGTAGCTTGGGCATTTGGGGTGGACAAGTTGCTGTTGCTGAAGTACTTCCCGGTAACTCCTCTAACTTGAGGATTCAGTGCCACATAACAGGTTGTTGCTGCCCCCTGTACAAAATCAATATACATATATTAATGATAGGCTCTCTTCGATCCTGTCATGTTTTAATTCTGTGATGTGCAGATGCAAATACTTCTACAGGACAGGTATAAGCCTCGAGATGCCTGCCTTATGCATCATAATACTGTGCAATTAAGAAACAACATGCCAAGAAAATGAGTGCAACAAAAATGAGAATGTTATCACGGATGAGGGAGCACACACTAATAGATAGGACAAGAAACAATATCACTAGTAAAAAATCACATATTCTAGACAGAATATTCTAGACGGAAATTTTTCCGTCTAGAATAATTTATTCTAGACGGAAATTTTCCGTCTAGAATAAATTATTCTAGACGGAATATTCCGTCTAGAATAGTATCCTAGACGGTTTCTGTATTTTAAATTTTTTTTTAACATAGTCAGGTATTCTAGACGGAAAGTTCCGTCTAGAATGTATCCTAGACGGAAATTTCCGTCTAGAATACCTGACCATTTAAAAAAAAAATTAACCCGTCAAAACCCGCAGCCGCCCTCTTTTCCCCCCCAAAATGAAAATTTTCATCCCCGTCCTCCCTCTCCCTCCCCTCCTCTCCCGGCTTCCCCAACTGGCGCTCCCCCTCCCTCCTCTCCCTCCGCCCCTCCCTCGACTCGCCGACTTCTTCGCCTGCTTCCTCCGCTCGCCCCCGCTCCACCGATCCACCGCTCCAAATCAGAGAGAGACGACTGTCATCTGGAGCAAGTCGACGGGGTTGCCTCTTTATAAGGCGATTGTTTGGATGGATGGACGAACTAGCTCAATCTGCAGGTTTGAAATTTTTGTTCTTCTAGGTCAGAATGGTCATCATCCATGTTCGAGATTTATTTGTTGTTGTAGGAAATGGAGAAAATTGGTTGTGTATGCTAAGTGATGCAATTGCTTGATTAGATGAGGCTTTGTTTTTGTTCCTTTAATGCTGTATTAGAATTAGTAAATTGTTTTGTCAGGTAAATGTTTTAGCCTTGTGTATCTGCTCCATAATAAAGTATATTTAGGCTGAATAGTTGTTATTATGTTAACCAATCAACTGGATTGCGGATTGCTCCTCCAGAAGCACCATCCACAGGGTACATGTTTGGAAAGGGGGTTTATTTTGCTGATATGTTCTCAAAGAGTGCAAATTATTGTTTTGCCTCAAAAGAATGTTCAACTGGTGTGCTGCTTTTATGTGAGGGTAGCTTCCTGATGATAATGTTTGCATTGTTAATTTCAGTTCCTGGAGACCTTCTGTCAGAAAACTTTCTGTTGAATAATGATTACTTTTCAGGTTGCACTAGGTGGTATGGCTGAACAGTCAGCTGCAAATTACAATGCTGATCGTTTGCCAGAGGGAAAACTGAGGTACATTTCTGCATAATCTCTTATTATTCTTTTCTGCATTGTTTAAGCTTAGCATACAATTTAGTCATAATATATAAAATTGGATTTGAAGAAACATAACCAAACCAAATGGAAGGTATTGCATGAGAAAGCAAATCATAGCATAAAATTGGATTTGAAGAAACATAACCAAACCAAATGGAAGGTATTGCATGAGAAAGCAAATCATAGCAAATTAGATTTCACGAAGTTGACAGTTTATATTTATCAACTCCATTATGTAAACAAGTTCCTATAGGTCATAAGACTGGTTCATCCGTATGATTGTTTGAAATCTTGGTTTGCTAATAATTTATAGTATCAGTTTGGTTTCAGCAGTTCCAAGTTTGAAGTATCAAGTGCAGTATGGAGAGTTTCACCAGTTTGGTTGATCAAAAGATTTCTACATTGATTTTCTCCCTTATAACATTATTGGATAGTTTGGTTTCAGTGAGTAAGTAGGAGAATTTTTCCTGTTCGGCATGAATGTTATTTGTGAATTGAGTTGATGTTGCGTTCTTATAGTTGGTTTGGTTGTTGTATAGGTGCTCTTAGGCATTCTCTGCAAGATAGGTTGAGCAAGGGGAGCAGGGGTCAAGGAGATGAGATATATTTAAAACTCCGCACCAGTACAGGTTTGTTTGCCCATTATCTCTCCCATGTAGGATTATTCTTTACACAATAATTACATAACGAGGTAGATACATGACAAATTTTGATTTTTATAGGGTCCATAAGTTCTATTGTAGTTGAAAATTAACTGGTTGTTGCATAAGTGGTTCTTTATTTGGTGTTTGGATTTATTGTGTTGGCCATCTTGATTTTACAAGAACCAAGACTCTATTTATCCCCCTAACTGATATGTGGCTTCATGGGAATATTTGTTTGATTTTCTGTCCTCTGCACTATGTGTAAATGTCAATTTTTTGTAAGATAGGAAATCCACAATAGCTATGTATCCATGATTGACACCGACAAGCTGGAACAACATGCTTCTTACAAATCTGAGTTGAAACTCGTCATAGATGTTTGCATACTCTTGTTGACAAGGTTTTCTTTTGTTTCATGTTTTTATTGTTTGCAGCTCTCTGTTTGTGTGTTGTTCTAATCTCCTTCACAATACTAAAGCTTTGAGCCTTAATCTTGTGTTTAGTGTGCTAGTGTGCATGTTTTCAGATACGTTGAGAATTAACATTCTAGTTCTACCTAAGGGATGCAATTATATCATTTGTTTTTTTTGTCATAATATTGTCTTGTAACCACAATTTTCATGTACCCATCACTGTTAGCCGTTACAAAATGTTGTTTCCTAGTAGATATTGAAATGTCATTTTTATTTTTCTGCAGATCAAAGGTACCTTGCTTAAAGCTTTGTGTCAGGCTGAGAGATCTAATGTTTTTTTTTCGTTCCAAGAAGGTGAAAAGCGAAGATACATGCGATCATTCTGACGAAGGCGAGGAAGACGTTTTTTTTCGTTCCAAGAAGGTGAAAAGCGAAGATACATGCGATCATTCTGACGAAGGCGAGGAAGACGTTGAAGAGGAAGAGGCAAGGAAGATTAGGCTTGGGCTTAATAAGAAGAGTGGTGATGATGATGAGTTGATTGCGAAGGGAAAATCCTATGTGAATTCGTGTAAATAATTGATCTAAAAGTTTGTAAACAAGTTTTTCTAGTATTTTGATGAATGTATTATTTGAATATAATTTGATTTGATATTGGAATATAATTAGATTGTGTTGGATATGAATATAATTTTTTGTTGTTCAATATTGTGTACATGCATCCAACGTAGATTCTGCAAAAAAAAAAAAAAATTAAAAAAATCAATTTCCGTCTAGAATGAGTATTCTAGACGGAAATTTCCGTCTAGAATACTCATTCTAGACGGAAATTTTTTCCGTCTAGAATGCATTATTCTAGACGAAAATTCCGTCTAGGATGTATTCTAGACGGTTTTGAATTCCGTCTAGAATATTCCGTCTAGGATGTATTCTAGACGGAATTTCCGTCTAGAATACTACATCCTAGACGGAAATAAACTAGACGAGTATTCTAGACGGAATTCCGTCTAGGATACACATCCTAGACGGAATTCTGTGTATCCTAGACGGATTTTTCCGTCTAGGATTCCTAGTTTTTTAGCAGTGTATATTTTAAAGAATTTCGGAGGTTTTTACCATTGAGAATAAAAAGTGAGAAAGAATTGTTTAAGATGGTTGGACTTGTGCACTAGAGGCTATTGGATACAGTAACTAGGAGAAGAAATATAATTACAATTAAGGGAGAGGAGACTTCAACTGATT